AAGGCAAGGCAGCACTTGGCTAGACAGGGGAAATCTTGACAGATTTTGGACATGTTGGGACTACAAAATGGTGTTCCATAGCACGTAAGGGATAATAGGGCACACAAGGATGCAACAGGGCTTTGTTTGAAACAGTTCTAGATAGACTGATCCCATGACCATCCATTTAGTAAGCACCCGACGAGCAAGAAACACCCAAGCGAGGGATTTGGCCGCCCCCAAAAAAGGCAAAAAAAGAACCCAAACACGAAAGGCAGCACCCGACGAGCAAGAAACACCCAAGCGAGGGATTTGGCATCGCCCCCCAAAAAAACGCAAAAAAAAACAAACACGAAAGGCAGCACCCGACGAGCAAGAAACACCCAAGCGAGGGATTTGGCATCGCCCCCAAAAAAGGCAAGGCAGCACTTGGCTAGACAGGGAAAATCTTGATAGAATTTGGACATTTTGGGACTACAAAATGGTGTTCCATAGCACGTAAGGGATAATAGGGCACACACGGATGCAACAGGGCTTTGTTTCAAACAGTTCTAGATAGACTGATCCCATGACCATCCATTTAGTAGAGGCAGCACTTGGCTAGACTGGAGGCGGCATGGCAGGATACCGCAAGGATGCTATCTTTGTCCAACTTCTGTTGTTTCATATCGCGGTATACCCGATCATGTTGAACCCAAACACGAAAGGCAGCACCCGACGAGCAAGAAACACCCAAGCGAGGGATTTGGCATCGCCCACAAAAAAGGCAACAAAAGAACCCCAACACGAAAGGCAGCACCGGACGAGCAAGAAACACCCAAGCGAGGGATTTGGCATCGCCCCCAAAAAAGGCCAAAAAAAACAAACACGAAAGGGCAGCACCCGACGAGCAAGAAACACCCAAGCGAGGGATTTGGCATCGCCCCCAAAAAAGGCAAGGCAGCACTTGGCTAGACAGGGGAAATCTTGACAGATTTTGGACATTTTGGGACTACAAAATGGTGTTCCATAGCACGTAAGGGATAATGGGGCACACACGGATGCAACAGGGCTTTGTTTCAAACAGTTCTAGATAGACTGATCCCATGACCATCCATTTAGTAAGCACCCGATGAGCAAGAAACACCCAAGCGAGGGATTTGGCCGCCCCCAAAAAAGGCAAAAAAAGAACCCAAACACGAAAGGCAGCACCCGACGAGCAAGAAACACCCAAGCGAGGGATTTGGCATCGCCCCCAAAAAAGGGAACAAAAGAACCCAAGCACGAAAGGCAGCACCCGACGAGCAAGAAACACCCAAGCGATGGATTTGGCATCGCCCCCCAAAAAACGCAAAAAAAAACAAACACGAAAGGCAGCACCCGACGAGCAAGAAACACCCAAGCGAGGGATTTGGCATCGCCCCCCAAAAAAGGCAAGGCAGCACTTGGCTAGACGGGGAAATCTTGACAGATTTTGGACATTTTGGGACTACAAAATGGTGTTCCATAGCACGTAAGGGATTATAGGGCACACAAGGATGCAACAGGGCTTTGTTTCAAACAATTCTAGATAGACTGATCCCATGACCATCGATTTAGTAAGCACCCGACGAGCAAGAAACACCCAAGCGAGGGATTTGGCATCGCCCCCAAAAAAGGCCAAAAAAGAACCCCAACACGAAAGGCAGCACCCGACGAGCAAGAAACACCCAAGCGAGGGATTTGGCATCGCCCCCAAAAAAGGCAACAAAAGAACCCAAGCACGAAAGGCAGCACCCGACGAGCAAGAAACCCCCAAGCGAGGGATTTGGCATCGCCCCCCAAAAAAGGCAACAAAAGAACCCAAGCATGAAAGGCAGCACCCGACGAGCAAGAAACACCCAAGCGAGGGATTTGGCATCGCCCCCAAAAAAGGCAAGGCAGCACTTGGCTAGACAGGGGAAATCTTGATAGAATTTTGACATTTTGGGACTACAAAATGGTGTTGCATAGCGCGTAAGGGATTATAGGGCACACAAGGATGCAACAGGGCTTTGTTTGAAACAGTTCTAGATAGACTGATCCCATGACCATCCATTTAGTAGAGGCAGCACTTGGCTAGACTGGAGGCGGCATGGCAGGATACCGCAAGGATGCTATCTTTGTCCAACTTCTGTTGTTTCATATCGCGGTATACCCGATCATGTTGATTTACTTCAACCCAGGAATATCTTTGATATTCATTGGCATTCTAGAATTTATATTTATTTTTCAAGCTTTTTATTTTTTTGAGCATCTATTATCATATACTATCTGGATTTACGTGATTCATCCTGATGGACATGGATTGGCCAAACGACTATCGGGGGCAACGGGATGGGAATCTCTACTAAATGGTTTTTCAGTTTTGTCTCGTGTCATTGTGACCGTTTTATGAACTCTACTTCGCAACCTCTACTAAATGGTTCCTGTGATTTTGCAACATTTTTTTGACATCTCTACTAAATGGTGTTACCCAAAAAACAACATTTGACATCATATGATTAACATATCATTTTTACCTCACTACTAAATGTGGATCATGGGTCTAGAGATGTTTACTTGATTTTTTTTTGAAAAATCATGATTCTCTACTAAATGGTGTCTGGAAATTTCACACTAAATTTTTGGTTCACTTTCCGGGACCTAGGTCATAGCATTTAGTAGTGGAAATTGGCAGGAGGATAAATTTCACACATTAATTGAAAAATGACTGTCAGATGCACCTGCTCTGTTGTGTGAAGAATGAATTGATATGCTGATGCGAACAACCCCCGGAGAAAAATCAGCTTGTTTTCAAAGCTCAGACTTGCTTCGAAGTGAGAGCTGCTCGAGGAATGGCACGATGTAGCCCGGAAAAATTGTCGCGGGTGAGCAGGCGAGGCCCAAAAACTCACGAAAATTGTTGTAAAACCCATAGTTGCAGAGGTCAAAATTCCAGTGTACCAGATCAACATGATATGTGATGGGTGCCCTTTGAGAAGCTGCTATGTGCGTTCGGGTGCAAGATCTTCTGGGCGAAGAAGAAGGTTGAATGGCCCAGCCATCACCGGATCACGGCTCGCAATCCACTCCATGATGCGGCCAGTGAACTCCCGGTTCTCTTCAAAGCGACGAAGAAGATCGTCGTGATCCTGCCGCAACTGCGCCAAGCTGCGCTGCAAACCTCCGATGGTGTCCACCAAATCAGCTGTATCGAAAAAGTGGATGGTGATGAAAGTTTGCAACCTGTGCTCCTCCTCGATGTTCCCATCGTCAATCATGTTGATTGCATCATCCGCGATGGTGCGGTAAATGTCCTGATACGCCTCAAAGTTGAAGATGATGAGGTGGAATTGGGTGACCTCTCGCAAATCCTCATCCCAGGCTGCCCATAACGTGGTCAAGTCGGCCAGTGGGGGCAGTTGATTTCGCGTATGCGATGTCTGGATGAGGTAACAAAAACTGTTCAGTTCACAATCGATGGTGTCGAGTCCCAGCCAAGGCAATGTGGCGCCAATGGTTTGATTAGGACGGTCGCCCTGAAGGCCCTGTGTGCTTTTTTGTCATGGTGGCTAACACGTAGGGAGTATGAAACCAAATCGGGATGCGCCTTGGTGAGTGTAAACCGAAGGGTCTTGAAGAAATGAGCAAACAATAAGGGAGAGGTAAGTGGAAAAACAAAAAGGAATATAAAAACAAGAGAGAAAATAGATGCGAGACGGGCAAGGGACTCAAGCAGGCATCGAAGAAGCCAGCGTCGTGCGGCTCCCGCCAGTCAGGTGTCATGGCGACAAGGACCCGGTTCGAAGTGAACACGAAAATAGAAATGTCAGGTCATGAACATGAGTATGTATCACATTGAGTGTGATGATCATTAATCAAGTAAATTGACTTGAAGATAATGTTACTCATGTCATGACTCGTCTCATGTTCTCCCTGCAGCACTTGCTGCTGTCTCACTTGAGACTAAAAAGGATACGTCGGATCAACATGGTTTGACATCACACAACCACATGACGAAATGCCCCATGCCCGCGAACTCATGTACACGTGTATGAACTCCGTATACATTCGTTGGTGGTAGGTATTTCACATAAAAATCTATCATGATTCTCATGAGAGTATTCATACATATATAGATATATAGATATATAGATATATAGATATATAGATATATAGATATATAGATATATAGATATATAGATATATAGATATATAGAATCTATATATCTATAGATTATATATATATAAGATTCATATAGATATATTAGTACTATATCTAGATCCTATAGATATATTATATATAGATATATAGATATCTAGATATAGATCATATATCTACGCCTCTCGCTCTCTCCGCTCTCTGTCCTCTCTGTCGCTCTCTTCGCTCTCATCGCTCTCTGATCGCTCTCTCGCTCTCTGTCGCATCTCTGTCGCTCTCTGTCGCTCTCTGTCGCTCTCTCGCTCTCTGTCGCCTCTCTCCTCTCTCGCTCTCTCGCTCTCATCCTCTCCTGTCCTCTCTCCTCTCTCGCTCTCTGTCGCTCTCTCGCTCTCTCCTCTCTGTGCTCTCTCGCTCTCTCCCCACGCTATCTCGGCGCTCTCGCTCCTCTCGCTCTCTCGCTCTCTCGCTCTCTCGCTCTCTCGCTCTCTCGCTCTCTCGCTCTCTCGCTCTCATCGCTCTCTCGCTCTCTCGCCTCTCTCGCTCTCTGTCTCTCTCTGTCTCTCTATCGCTTGTCCTCTCTGTCGCCTCTCTTGTGCGCTCTCTGTCGCTCTCTGTCTCTCTCTAGCTCTCTGTTCCTCTCTCGCTCTCTCGCTCTCTGTCGCTCTCTCGCTCTCCTCGGCTCTCTAGCTCTCTTCTCTCTCTCTCTCTCTCGCTCTCTCGCTCTCTTCGCTCTCTCGCTCTCTCTCTCTCTCCTCTCTCTCTTCTCACTCTCTGTCTCTTGGGCTGGTTGTCTGAAATTAGGGTATCCAAAATTCCATTGGTTCATCATGATTTTCCCATATTTTCACGTATGTCAGTATACCACATGTTCAACGCTCTCCTCCAGGAGTTGGGCTTCATGAGCCTCGGGAGATTCGTCCTTTTGCGGCTCCTCACCGTGTTGCTCCATGCGAAAATAAAAGAAAAGTAAAAACGACCATTCCATGGATGATCAGTGCTATTCCTGCCATTTAAAAAAAAAAAAAACGATGGTTTGTGATTTTTGCCAAAACTGTTTTATATGTTCGCAGTTTCTATCAATTCTGGTTTCACGCTACTTAAAGCATCTTGAAGCCACAGCTGCCAAGCTTTGAACAGAAATCCTGTGTGTAGTAGACAACCACCGCAAACAAGACACTTCTGCCTCATGATCTTGAAATTCCGCCTCTTCATGAGCAAGTGGTTCCTGCCATCGCTGCTTTCGATGACACAAATCTAGCCCTTCGTATTGATTCATAACCCAGACATTGCCAAACAAAACGTTTGGGCCTCATGACCCTGGAGCTCCGTCTCTTGATGAGTTTGTGGCTCCTGGCATTGCTGCAACTGCAAATAGGATCTCCTAAGTTTTCCATAAACCCAAGTGACCTCGTAGACTCCCTTTCCTCTTGGTCGCCAAATATCTGTGTGTCGGGGACCTTCACAAGCTATGTTATCAAGTCATCAATGGTGCAAACATAGAAATGAAACTGAATAAATATTAGCCCTGGTTTGAGAGAAAACATTTTAAATGTTTGGATGGTCCCGGAAGAATAAAAGTTCCCTCCGAATGTTTCAAAGAAAAGTTGGCATTTTTTTGTTAAGTACTACGGAATACCCTAATTGTGCAAGGGACGATGCATACCACTCCAAAATCACTTTGGAAATGGTTTTAGGGCTTGAAAAAAACGTGTTAATGTTGAATTGAAATGCAAAAAATGTGCATGGGTTGCGTTTTCTGCCCCCCTTTCAACCTGCCTTCAAAACCTTTTGGTTCACCACTCACCAGAATGAACCAATTTGGTCAAGCACAAATTTGATTTTCGTACATATATATATATATATATACCGTTTCATACCCTCAAACCTTCCCCAACAGCACACTTGGGCCTCACGACGTTGGGGTTCTGTCTCTTGAGTTTCTGGTTCCTGCCGATGCTGCGACAAAACGGAAATTTGACCTTTGAATTTTTGAAAAAATTGTGTTTTTCACCAATTATCAGGTCCTCACCACACCAGCTGACCCAACCAACGCACAGGTGTGTCTGGATCATTTTGATTTTGATGTTTGATCACAATTTTCCCACGAAAATAACCATAATTGGGCGGTGAATCCCCCGATTTTCAAGCACAAAACCAGCCCACTCAGTCCTCAGTTTTTTGCATCATGATTCTACCATCTTCAGATACCTCAGCCTGCAGCTGACCCTGGTGATGACCACGACTGGGGGTTTCAGCTACGCAAACATAAATGACCTCGGTGCAATCGGTGCACTCGGCACATCAATGCGAACGTTTCACTAAATTTCAGCATGTCACGGATCGTTTTCGAAACCATGCCACGGTCAACCTAAGAAATGATTTTGATTTTTGATGTTTGGAAACGAATTTGGTTTGTCAGGATTTCGTTTGGGAATTCCATTTGGGAAGTGGATTTGTTTCACTATCCTTCCAAAACCCATGTATCGTTCGTTGAAGATTCAAAGTGCCTCACGTTGATGCAATTTAAGATGAGATGTTCAAATACCATCAAATACCAATATGTGAAGTTTTGTCATGTTGTGAGTCTTTTGGTATGATTTGATTGAAGAAATCATTTCAATGCGTGACATCTGCGCAACTGCCAACCTGAGGTCATTGCAATTGGACAAACCAGCAAACGAAAGGCCATTTGCAACATCTTGAGTGCTGCACGCGCCCTTTTTAGCCGCTAAGGCCGCAGGGAACCAAGCCACCCCAGCGGCTACCGGCGGAGATCACAATGCGAGAGTTTGTTGAAGTCTGCACTGGTTTGATGCCAACTTTAAAATGTAGGTTTTTTTTGAACAAATTGTTCTTGTCCAAAAGATTGTTTTTCAATGACGTTGGACAATCACCAAAATTGTGACAATGGAAAACATTTGTGTGCCCTAAAGTGTGGCACCTCAAATTTCCAAATACGAACGATTTTCCACTCAAAAAAAAACAAGTGAACAAATCAGTGCAATAATCCGCATCAAAAGTAAAAATTGCGAAAAGGCAACCACACTTTTTTCTGAACCAGACAGGCCTTGATGGTCATGTATGATTTACATGCCAAAGTCTATAGAAACTTGTTACACTTCATCTCGATTTGTGCTATGTCCATGACTGTACATCCTGTCAAAAACTCTTCTCACTCCTCCTTGGCGCTTTGAGACATCTGAATCAATGCCCCATCCATGTTTTGCGTCTTTGCATTGTGTTTCAGACTGAAGTTCTCACAATTTTTCCAGAGAAAAAACATCGGCATGAATTTTTTTTTGGAATTCATCCCGCGTAGTTTTCTGAGATCCTGTCGTATCTGGTTGCACTTTGCCATCTGTTCTGATCTTCAGCAGTTTTCCTCAAATCTCTGAAAAGCGTAGAAATCTTGTTGCGAAACATTCCAATGGTTTCTCCTGTCACACCATCTCGAATTTTCTCCAAACATTCAAGCACCAGATTCTGAATTGTGTTGGAATCCCACAATTCTCCGTCCTGAATGCATCGGAACCGCTCATTTTTTAAGAATTCTACCATTCCAGTCAAGTCTTGGGGAGTAGCCGCTGTAGTTGAAATCACCGGCTCAACTTCCATGTCGTCATCCATGTCACTTTCTGAGTTCTCATGATCTCCTGCTGGATCTGTTTGGTCTGCTTGTCCCATCGCTGCACCTCTTTGTTTAACCAAACGCATGTATTCAACTGAACCCTTAGTCCTTGAGGCTACAAGGTTAGCCCTTTCCAATGTTGTCAAGTGAATCAATCCACTGGTCATTGCTAAGTCCAAGACCATTTCGAAGGCACCCTCCACTTTCAACTATGTAATAGTGGAGGCCACTTGCATAGTCGTGGAACATGCTTGTCTCTTTTGAAACTTCAGTAATTCCATCTTGCAACTCCGCTTTGGTGTTGTCCAGCATGTTTTCCAACCTTCTGCATTGTTCGAAAAGGGCATCAATTCTCCGACTCTGCTGACCTGCGTGGTAATCCTCGTCAGCCACCTGGTTCCAGCAGTATTGTAAGTTTTTTGCGACCTTGTTCAACCTTTTCACCATCACATATGCAAAAACTCCAAACAGTAAGCACATGAAAATGAGAAAAGCCCATAGCCAGAAAGTCCCGGAGCCAGAACTTGTTGGTGCTTCGTTCGAAGCGCACGTAGAAGCTGCATCCGCTCCAGGCAAATTGAATGACTCAAGGCCCATCATCATTGCCATACGCATTACTGTTTTAACCAGGTTCTTCATGTTTTTCTGTCCTTCAAACCTTTGAGTTGCTTGCTCAATCTCCTCCTGACCGAGCATCTCATGAGTCTCTGGGTCCATGGCTCTCATCATAGGCAACAACGTCAGGAGACGCGCCTTTTGGAGTGCCTTTGTACCAATGTCACTGCAATTCCCTTCCGTAGGGATTTGTCCAACCACCAACTCAGATTGCAGCACAAGGTTTTGGATCCATAAGATCTTTCCACTCAAGTGTCAAATCTTCCCGACACCTTGCCTTGCCACAAGTTGGCGGGCAGCGCTGTTGTCAACCCAATGGATATGCTCGACGTCCTCGGGCACCAAGAATTGCAAACATCTCTTAATAAAAATGGCATCTGAACATCCTGACACCATTGAGTGCAATTCACTTTCGGCTGAAGACAGTGCAATCACACGCTGGGTTCTGCTTGAGGCATATGCTAGGCTGTTGTTGATGAAATGCACTGCACAGCTGGTACTCCTTCTATGGCTTTCGTTGGCAGCCCAGTCAGCGTCTGAAAAGGTCTCGGCCAACCAATAACGCTCGCCACCTTGCTTCCAACGTCCATGCCCAAACTCAGGTGGAACCAGTTTGATTCCAAAGTCACCTGAACTCTTGAGGTATCCAACCAACTTTCTCAACCTTTGCAACGCACACAAAGTAGGGCATGACATGCAAGCTGCAACTTCCTTCACACTGAACATCAAATCGGGTCTGTCCCGAGCCAAATACAAAAGTAAACCCACAACGCTTCTGTAGGCACTTGAATCTTTTGCAGTTAGGCCTGGGGAGGAATCTTCGTTCTGGATTCCTGCGTCGCAAGGGATTTTCTGAACCTTTGCAACACCAAACGCTTTCTCATACAAGTCACCACTTTCTCTGCTGTAGTTCCTGGAACAACCATCATTCCATCATCAAGTTTGACCATGCGTCGCTTGAGACAAGAAATGGGACCTCCTGTCTTTCCCATCACATTGAAACTCACGCTAAACTTCTTTGACGTCGCAGGAAGAAACTTTTCTGTCCAGAAACTGCGGCTTCCACAAAACAAGAGGTCATCAACATGCACCATAAAGACATTGTTGCAACCACCATCAACGCATTTGGCTAAGCAAGACAGCACACCAAGTAAAACCAAGCGCATCAGTCACATGGTTCCTGAAATGCCAGTACCATGCTTTTGCTCCCAAACGTTGTCCCGGCAAAATTCTCTTGATCAGGTACTGCTGGTCATACAACCAAACCTCAATCACATCAGACTGTGGCACCTGCAAAAATGCGTCTTTGATGTCCAAGGAAGCCAACACCACATCATAGCTGCTGTCTGTCACTGCAACGGTAGCACTATTTTGAGCACTCAACATGGGCTGTAGCGTGTCATCTTTGCGCAGGGGCCATGCACACTTTGCATTGCTCCTACTGTGCACTGCTTAGTCCAATGGAGGACAAATCCACCGTTTCGGTGGTATATATATTTTGTATATATATAAATGCCTAGAGCATATACATACGAGTGGGGAGCACCAAGTTTAGCACCCCGCCTTTGGATGCACGATTCTTAGAAGAGTGCATTCCAAACTCCTTAACTTGGATGATTGTCTTCCTCAACATCGATATTCGGTTGAGGCATTTCACTTCAGAAGTTCGGTTAAATCAAACAAACCAAGCAGCAAAACACCGGGAACCAACAAAACAAAACACAACACACGACACAGCAGGACACAAAGTCCTCGATATATTCGGTATCGTGCAAATTGATCTAAGTGATCAAAAGATACAGGCAAAATGCCTAAATTCTGGTGAAATCTCTATTCGCTTTCTATCTCTCACAGGCTGCCGCACAGCAACTCGAACTTTGTTTTCATCACCCATGTGCCGTGCATCAGGCTATGCCTCGAGCATTGATTGCCAGTAGTTCATCCCCATTGTTCCTCAGATAAGGCAAGGCCGGTGTCTTCATTTTCATTGGCCAAGTACGAAGCTGCAGCTGGTTCTGCAACAATGTCCAGTATTTCATGTACCCGTTCGACATTTCCATCAATTTGTTCTGCTCCTCTATCTGGTTGGTGTGTAAAGCTAGCGATCTCTATGTTCTCTATGATGTCATCCATCTCTACTTCTTTACATTCCTGATCTCCACTCACGACTGCAAGCAGCATAGCCAGGCTCAAGCGCGTGCTGAATCCTACAGTTATACATGCTACCTTCTGAAAACAACGCATCATGAGGATCTTGAAATCGTTCTTGTTTAAATCGCCAATGTAGATGTTCATGTCGAGAAAATCAATCAAGCCGATCTTAGTATTCACCACCATGTACCCGAAATACACAATCAAAAAGTGACTTACACAAGTGCCGAACACATACACAGTAAACGATGCCATGTCATACACAGAAGTGTGCTTGGATACAATGTTTCCTTCCTGGAACCTTTCGCGCTTCGGAATCACAATCTTGATGACAATGACAACCATAACGACAACGCACAACACCAGGACCAAGTTGAGAGGCATAGTAGGACACACACTCAAGTAACATAATTCAATCTCTTTGGCACCAACCAATGGAACTACGGATGCCATTGTATAAGCAGCCAAAACCCGCTTCACGAACTTCACGTTCTCGGAAGTCATTGGTCTTGATGCTCTCAACGTAGCAACCTGAGATTCGACAGGCGGCAAGCTGGTTTCCAAAGCAATCATCTGACATAGTTGTCTCACCTTGCGTCGGTTACCTTCTTGAAGCAAAACTGTCTGGTACTCTTGCTCACCAATGGATTCTCCATCAGCATTCTGAAACCCTATCATGCACATCAATGTGAACAGACGACCACGTGGGAGACACTTTGTACCAAGGTCACTTGTGTTCAAAAGTGTGCTGATACCTTTTACTTGCAGCTCAGACTGTTCCACCAATTCTTGAAGCCATAGGTACTTTCCGCGCATATGCTTGATGCGCCCACTTCCGGACTTGTGTGCCAAAAACCTAGCCCCGTTGTTGTCTACTTTCAATGTGAATGTGCTAGGTCTGGCCGTGAGAAATTCCACACAGTACTTGATGAACAAACCATCGGATACCCCACTACAGGCTGAATACCACTCACTCTCGGTGGAGCTCAAACTTGTTACCTTCTGGGTTCTCGATGTGAAATGCACTGGAACACCATTGACAAAGTGGATGGCACATGATGTGCTTTTCCCAAAGGAACCTTGCCAATCACTGTCTGTGTGAACTTCTACTGATGTAGCACCAAGTTCTGTATCTCTACCAGCCATGGATTCAAAATTATTCATTCCGGGGTTTCCCTGTCTCAGCAGCAGCGATGCTGTGGGCAAGGCAATCAAGTACCCTACAATCTTTGACAATGCTTTCCCCGATGCGACTGTAGGCGTCTTCAGGAAAGATGCAAGGCTCTTGACCGCGAAGGACAAAT